GGAGTTCTGAGCACTAAATACGTGGATGGGCGCCATGTCAATTGCACTGCATGCCTCTACCTTTTGTTTCCGCTTCTCTGGTCGATCAGTTCAATCCTCCCTGTCCTTCGCTGTTGGCTTCCACTTGAGTAAAAGATTGACACCCCCGCCTTGCCAAGTAAAAGAAAGTGAAACAGTGAAACTACACTCCAAACAGAAGTCGAAGTTGCCTAACACTGTTCCAACACAGCACTACCCATTCTGAAGAATTTAACGCATGCCATGATTCTGATCGTTCTCCATGTCTGTAATGTTGAGGTTTGAGTTGACATCTGGAAGTGTTTAGGCTTACCAGGTTCTCAGCTGCGACGTTGATCCATGGAGGTTGTGGCTCTTAGTCCGGAACCAGTGATGTCGTTGGAGGAAGTCAAGCAGGGGATAATCAAGGAGATGCCTTTCATGGCCACATGGGATGGGTCGGATTGGTCGGATGGGAGTTCCCCCAAGAGTATGCTCGTTAGGTTTTGCAGTGCTCATCGAAAGCGACAAATTCATAGATAATGCCTTCAAGTCTCCATGACAAGTGAACGAACAGAATTTCGGCCGGAAAGCTACCCGCCTCTTATACAAACCAGATCACCTCAACCTACATACATTGGCACGAATCGCAGCGTGTGATGCAGTCTTATTGGCCTGATTTGCCGGCCGCAACACACTCACTCGCCCGCTCGCTCCCTCCCCTCCCTCCCTCCCTCCCTCCCTCACTCAGCCTAGTGTATGTACAGTCCTTGTGATGCCAGAAATGCTTACCCCTCTTTCCGACCCAAGGCACACAAAAGCGGGGTGTAAATCTACTCCCAGATTTGCTATAACCATAAGCCGTCTACTTCCTCAAGACACTCTATTCCTTATACCCTTTTCCAGTGCTTATCCTACACTACGGACGCCCTAGTGTATGTACAGTCCGCGTGATGTCAGAAATGCTTACCCCTCTTTCCGACTCAAGGCATACAGAAGCGGGGGGTAAATTTACCCCCAGAACCATAAGCCGGCTATTTCCTCAAGACACTCTATTCCTTATACCGTATACCTTTACCAGTGCTTATCCTACACTACGGACTCCCTAGTGTATGTACAGTCTTTGTGATGCCAGAAATGCTTACCCCTCTTTCCGACCCAAGGCATACAAAAGCGGGTGGTAAATTTACCCCCCAGATTTGCCGATCACGCATCTTCGTACCTACCAACGAGTGCGCCCGGGTTGTTCCAATGTACCCTTCCCAGTCGGCGATGTCACATTTGCATTCTTTAGCGCAAAGTATGTACATAGCAACCTTTCTCCCAAAACATGTAAACACTACATGCTTTGCCGACGATGTAAATAGTATATATACATCCGGTGCGATTCGGCTAGCTTTCGACCTCCTCCCCCTGGCCTCAAGTTGTTTACTGCATAGACCCGAACACGCAGTGAAGGATTCATTCAGGCTTTTTAATCCAAGTGCTTCCCTGATGGTTTTGAAGTTTTCGCTGCTGCTGGATGCTTTGCAAGGCGCTGGGAGAAGTAGTAGGGGAAACCAGTCCAAGTGCCCACCAACTTCACCTCTCTGACTCTGTGACACACCAATCCACATCTAGCTTTTGTTTCAGCTTTGGCCATCTGAAGAAACTAGACGACTTTGGCTGCTCGATTACATAGAACAGGTCAGCAGCTTGTATAGGGGCAGAATTATGCTCTCCATCACGCTTGCCATTTGCATTGGCTGCCACCACCGCTTTCGAAGATCCAAGGCCACACAATTTCAACCACAAAGGGGGAATCGTGATAGTACTTGTAAGGTGGTCGTGTCAACAGCAAGACCCGCATCAACCCCTACATTATTTTTAAAGGTTTCAACAATTCTGGCTCTTGCTTCGAGTTCAGGGCTCTAAAGAAAAGGAGGCGAGAAACCAAACACCTCAATGTACTTCCCGAGGTGAGCCAGATCCAAGTCCAACATGTAGGCATAGTTAAGACCACTCCGTTCTCCTTGCAATGGGCAAGCATAGTGGCATAGCGATCAAAGTCACAAGCCCTTCCGCAGTGTGCGCATTATTGTGAGTCTCATTCTTTGCAACGTCGAAAACCTTCATTTGTTGCTGCATTTCCGAGTGATGGATCCAGACTGCTGGAACACCTCTTGTGTTCCCTGTTAAGAGTCGAAAAAGAACGGTAATATGTATTATGTAAGGAAGGTTCCCAGAGATTCAGAAATCGCTTGGCCACCGCTTGGTATTCTTGTGTTTAAAGTGGATATGTTACCTCGTCGCGCTAGCAAAACGCAGGGTTGCGCTAGGTTTGGCGCTAGGATCAAGTACTTAGGTAACTTAGATAAGATTAACAAACAACACATACATGTATTGGTCACTAAACTTGTTGATTGGTCATTCAACACACACACACACATACACCCGCACAGGCCCAAGAGCAGCAACTGTTTGAAAGGCAGCAAAGCGCCGACAAAGGCAGCTACTGTTTGAAAGGCAGCGACTGTTTGAGATAAGACTAAGCGAGTTCTTGATCACAGACGTTTGGTGGCCTCATGCACTGGCAGGAAAGCGCTAGATCCGCGCTAGGCCCCTTTGCAACTTTGACCACTTGTCCAAGTGCTGAGCAGGGCCTACTACTCCCACTATTGCAAACATACACACAGACGCGCGAATGGGCTGCACCTTTGCTGCATGACGTTGCGCATGAACAGCGGCTCAGACAATATGCCGCCAACCTGGTGGCCAGAGTTCAAAGAGTGAAGAAAGTTGAAAAAGCAAGAAGGGCAGCTGCTGGGGTGGGGGCGAGGGCTTTGTTTTCGCAAAAAAGGATAGGAAAGCCATTAACCATATCTTGACAACTTGTTTCTGGGTGCAAGAGGACGGCTACTTTCAGCCTCACATTTGAAACAGTTGGACTCTGTAAGTAAGAATGCAGCAGTTAAAAGGGCATGCGCAACATACAACCATATACATGAGCGCATGTTGTGTACATGATAGCCACCGCTTGGAATTGCTGTGGTTTCAACCTAGGATACTGATTTTAGAACGTGTTTTTTCAACTCTAAATCCTGTGCCTCTTCCAACGACATCACCGCTTCAGGGAGCACCGCGGTCAGTTGGGGCTCCGTCATCTTGATCCAAGCTCTCTGAGAGTCAGAATCACAGCTGAAACTCTTCAAATCCGGGACACGAGAACGATTGTTATGAAACATACGATTGTTAGAAAAGAATGCGTACCCAACCTTTCGACTTCTACGGCAGCTCGCCCCAATCACACCGGCTGACGCATTCATAGATACAGCAGAAGAACATCAAGGGTCAAGGGCAACATGGTTAAAAAATGTTAAAAACAACTTTTTGCTCTGCAGGGTGACATGGTGTTTTTTGACAGGTGTTGGCGTGGCCATCGGCGACGAGATGCTCGTGTCCAAAAATGATTGCAGCCATGTGGTTGATTTCGCATTTGCAGAGTTGAACAACTCTGTGATGTTGCAGGAAGGGCTGCGCAGTTTGCGCATGCACTTGGGAAGACTCTCGCTAAAAGCCGAGCCTGGCACATACAACCTGTGCTGGTGTCCTAAATCTGCCGGTTGCAATTTGAACTCCTTCCGAGCGCCAGCTGGTTCTTTGCAAGTCCATTGTCCACCAGGCCAGGACATGACAGGACTGCTATTCTCACTTTTGCACGTCTGTGGTCAAAATACGCCCCCTGCAACAGGTACTTACTTCATGAGGCGGTCGGTGCGATGCGCAGAATGCCAGCAAGGTTATTATTGTACCGGTGGCTACATGGACGATGCTACGCGATTGCCTTGCTCAGTTGGTCGAACAACGCAAGCTAAAGGGGCCACATTGAGCAACCAGTGCGTGTGTGACCTTGGACACCTGTCGAATTATAGCATGCTCAGAAAATGTTCCTTTACTTTTTGCAAACTTCATTTCTGAGGAGGCTTAAAGGATCTTAAAGGACAAAGATTAGAGTGGTGGGGTCGCAAACTGTGTGTCTCGTTTTTGTCCTTCTCCGCCTCAAACATCCCGATCTCAACCTAACCATTTACACCTCTTCATCCTCCTCCCATTGTTCCCCAATAGTCAGGCTATGGAGATCTTGTTCTGCGAGTCATTTGTCTTGGTCACGTTTTCACCGTCTTCTGGGAGTGCGCCGGAGTCGCCGTGTGTGGCATGCCTTCGGTTCCTTTGCACCGTTTTTTGTCCTATAGTTTTCGGAGTTTCCCGCGGTCGTGGCTGCTAAGCGTTTAATTTGGTCTTTGAGTTTGCGAAGACGCCGGTCCTCGAGATGTGAAGCAAGGTTGGCAAGGCTCAGTGAATCGCCAAGGTGTTTTCGTATTGTTTACGTTCCACCAGGCGAGTTGCAAGACTCTTCAGGCAAAGTATACACGGCAACTTTCTTTGCTTCCATGTAGGCACAACAAATTACAGCGACTAGGCCCACTGTGCGCTGATGTGAATACATTGCACTCTGTAGCGCGTGAGCGCTTAACACCGTCTTTTACTTTGTGCATATTTTCTCTGGCCTCTTGGATGGAGTGCACATTTGTGTTCCCCAACGTACACTGTAGCAACTCTTCCTTGCTTGCGCACATTGTCTTCCTGGGTCCTGAACAAAACCTCCTTTGACGCAAAAAACACGACGACCACACAACTTTCGTGCCATTATTTGGCGTTACCGTCACTTACAGTAATTCTATTCCACGTAACAACAATCGTGGACCACAAAGAAAGATTTCTGCTTTCTGGTCCTGTTGTCTCTGTGTGGAATCAGTGCAGATGTGGAATCAGTGCAGGTTGTTGCATTTAGGTTATGCAAGGAGGGACGCAAGAAGTGAAGAATGTGTGGGCCATGAAACACAAATTTATGTCCTACTGTAAGCGCTGTCTTTTCTTATGTCCATATTGAATGAAAGAAGGTTGTTTGCGTGTGACTTCCTCATGATCAGCGAAGAGCAAACGCAACAATGCACAACAACGAAGCATTCTGGTCTTGATGACTGGGTCAGGGAAGCGATTGATCGATTGATTACGGTAACGCTTTTAAATATATGGTGGCCGGGCCCCGGGCCCCTTCATTTTAAATGTAGACGGATCCCTGTTGACATTTCCTCTACAAAAAAGGGGAGCTGTTGTAACCAGGCAGTTTGGGCGCCTACAGAGCCCGATTTTTGTAGAGAAATCACTTTGCTTTCTGCCCAGCAACTAGGTCGATCTAGCTTTTCAAACCCTCATCAAGGCGCCTGGACCACCAAGACCACTTGAACGACCAGGACCACCAAGAGCACCACCAACACCGCCTAGACCGTCAAAAAACCACCAAGACCACCGGGACCACCAAGACTACCAAGACCACCGAGACACCAAGACCGGACCACCAAGGCCACCGGACCCCCAAGACCACCAAGAGCACCACCAACAGTGTACTTGAGCTCAGTACCAAATAAATGCGGCCGCACATATGTAAGCTGACCGTATAGATTTAAAGCGTACATTCATTCCGCGTGTTTTAAACACAGGCGGGCTGGCAAAAGCCTTGCTGGAGGTACTCTAAACTACCGACCTGTTCACTTGTTTCAAAAATCGCATATGTAAATATGTAAAACAACAATACCGTACAAGGAAACAAGACACTCAGGTTGCGGAAGACAGAACATGCGCGCCAAAAATCTAGTTTCCAGAGAGCTTCACACATGGAGGTCACTGGCTTATAGTCTAGTCTTGAACCAATGGCACGGGGCGGCAGGCAGGTAACTAGAACAATACAATCACCGCATTCCGGATTTGCGTGTGCCTCAAGTTCAATGACCCGCTTCTTGGAAACCTCTTTCATGTTGAAACGATTTGATGCTGCTTGAGTCTCCATCCTGCCAATATAAATACACTCTTTGGGATCCCTTGCCTGATTAAACCATATACTGTACATCCACAAGAAGCAGACCTTTCATCGAAGACGTTCAGCAAACACTTCAACACGATTGTTTCTCGAAGGGTCATTGGTTGGGCAAAACTTGAAAGGCAGCCGCGCCCACATGCACCCTTATGAAGTGTGTTTTCCTGTTCTTTCCGGCCTGTCAGGATATGGACTTGAAGTGCAGACATGCACTGAGTGTGTGGAGGGCTTCTACAAAGCCACACGTGGCAACGATCCGTGTTCTTCCTGCCCAGAGAACTACACAACGAACGCTGCAGGTTCTTTCTCTCCTGACAGTTGCATTGAAGTCAACATGGACACTACTTTTGGAGCTAGTGAGACCCAGAATTCCAGCCGTGATGGAAGCACAAACAACTCAGTTCCTGCTGTAGCTCTAGGTATTTCTTTTGAAGTGCTGGATGGAAGTCCAGTTGATAAGGATCAGTTCTCCGAAGTGCTCAGGCAGGTGTTCTCAGGCATGAAACGAATAGACACTTCCAGGATTGCAGTGAGGTTTGCGGCTGCGACTTTGCGTCGCTTGTCAAGCACCATGACGGTGATTGTGACTATGAATTATCGAACTGCAGAAGAAGCACAGGAAGCTCTTGACATGGATGTCAATGAAGTGTCAAGTCAAATTCAGGAAGCTGCGCAGGAAAGCATGGCATTGGAGGTCCAACCCACTGTATCCGAGCCAGAGGTGGAAAGCGTGGAAGTGAGATGCGAGGGCAATCGAGCCATTCCGCCCGGAGTGGTCGCGTTGACATCCGACGATTGCAAATGTGGCCCTGGATTTGGCCTCAAAGATGGTGAATGCCTTGCTTGCCAGCCTGGCGAATGGAAAAGCACGATAGAAGATAACACATGTCATGATTGCGACTCACAAAAGTCGACAACAGCAACTGGCGCAACATCTCTCGCAGAATGTAAGTGCAAAGCTGGGTCTTACCAGAGCAAGTCTGATGAATCCGTGTGTCTCCCTTGCAAAGAGGGATACTTTTGTGATGGCTCTGGCCAACATTCCAGGTGCCCAGAGAACATGACGACAGATCAGACGAATGCAAAAACTAGTACTGACTGCGTGTGCAACAAGGGCTATCAAAACCTGCAAGGGTTCTGTTCGCCTTGCCCTTCAGGCCGGTACAAGTCCAACTCAGGCAACGGCAGCTGCTCTTCAGTGTGCCCCATCAATGCCGACAGCAGCCCGGGCTCTACGGCAGAGTCTGACTGTCAATGCCGCATGGGCTTCCATAAAAAAACTGAAGTAGGTCAGGATACCTTCGAATGCGCCAGCTGCTTTGACTACGTTGGAGTGATGTGCCCTGGGGGCGAGACCAATCCTGTTGCAAAACAGGGCTACTTCCAGACTGGACCGACCATGGCAGTGGAATGCCGTGTACGCATGATGGATGAGGCTGAAACCTTCAGCGTATGCCATGGAAACAACACTTGTGCACTTGGATCAGCAGGGTGGCTTTGTGGTGAATGCGATGCCCAATTTGCCCGAGATCAACCACTGCAACAATGCGAGCCTTGCTGGACACAAATGTCCCAAGTTGCGCTCATATCAAATGTGCTTCTTCACTTGGTGCAAACTTCTTCCGTCGGTTTTGTGCTCGCAAGTTTAGCTGCATCATCTGCAGTGACTGGCGTCGAACCCTTCTCCACGAGCCTTATCCGCATTTTCACTCATTGGGTGGAGGCCAGGCTTGTGAAATCCATGATGCTTGAGCGCAACGTTTTGGGTTTGCGGCTAGGGTAACCAACCACCTACTTTTTATGACTTGATTTTTCTTGTCAAGGCTTGCTCCGTTGTCGGCGATTTTGGCCTGGAGAAGCTACCAGCCTTTACTTGGTCGCAGGAGGCGCTCCAAGCAGATCCTAACGCCACATCGGGGTCAGATGGACCAAAGACATATTTGTGGCCCCCAGTTCTAACAGAAGCAATGGACACCCTTTTGTCGGTCGCAAATATCATGCCCAAACTGTCTATCGATTTTGCTTTACACTGTTTTGGTGCAGAAGTGCTTCCCAAGCAAAGCATGTTTGTGGCAGCAGTATACTACTTCTTGCTACCTTTCTTTGTCATGGGTTCTACGCTTCTTGTGTGTTTGGCAGCCGTTCTTGTTGTGGTGCCACTTGCGAAGAAGCTTGCAGGGCATCAATTCAATGAGAATTTCAATAAGAAGAAACGACTCGTCAATCAAATAAAAGAAATCAAACAACAGAGAGAAAAGCATGGACAAACGGTGAGTCTGGCATCGCCTCAAGAGAAGGCAGTCAATGCGATTAGACCGAGTTTGTCCGAACCTTATTATGAGGCGGCGGACAGTGCATTCCAATCGAGTTTGCTAGAGTTCTCCCTTTCAGATTTGAAGATGATCTTGCAGTATTTGGTAGAGAAGCAGCAATTACAAAATGATCAAGATGTCGGTAGCAAGAGACCGGCTTCGGTTGGAGCTGGTGACACTATCTCTCCTGGTGGCAGTTCAGATGATCCTGACGAGAAAGATCTTGAAAAGTATGAAAAGTATGATTTCGGCCTCTTCCCACCGTCTACGACAGCTCGGGATGTGTGGAGGTACAGCTTTCCAGTGATGTGGGTTTGTTTGGTTCGCGTATGGCCAGAGATACTGTCGAGCTGCTTGAAGCTTATTTGGTGTAGCCCAGTTCCAGAGTACAACAAGGCAGAGGACGAACCCATCATCGTTCAACGACTGATGATGCACCCAGACATCAGGTGTTGGGAGGGAGACCACCTTCCAAGCGCCGCGCTGTCAGCGGCAGGCTTAGTTCTTTGGTGTGCTGGGATTCCATGTTCGCTGTATTGGGTCATTCAGAACCTCGAGGATCGCTACAGCATGGATAGTTCGCGCAGATATGGAAACGTAATTCATGGTCTTGATCCATCTTTTTGGTGGTGGGACATCATTGTTAAGAGATTTGACACTCTATTGATGCTCTTGGTAAACTCTACATCCATTGCGGATGATGCGAGGGCCAAGCTCCTTCTGTTTCCAATTCTCTCCGGGATGCAGCTTGCCCTTATGGCTTGGTTTAAGCCTTACACGAAAAGCCGGTCAAACATCCTGAATTATTTGGAGTTTGGACTGTTGCTGGTGCGCTTTGTACTCTTTAGCACAATAGCACTGATCATTATCATCTATCCATCTGCTGCCTTTGCGTGGTTCCTTGGTGGGTCTTTGCTTTTCATCATGGCTTGCACACTCATGCTTTTTGGCATTCACTTCTTGAAACAGTTTCTCAAAGAAGAGATCGACAAGATCGAAGAACAGCCAGAAGATCCAAAACCGGATGAGAACAAGCCAAGAGCGAGATCTTGCCGAGAAAGGGCGATCAACATGGCAGGCCGCAGACGTGTTTCATAAGCTTGGCTTGGACGATTGGAAACGCTGCCCAAAAACAGACGGATGACATGTTGCATCCCGTTGCTTCAGGCTATGTCATATGTTGTATGCGTCATGCGTCTCACGGTATCAAGGTTTTGCGCAATGGTGATCCATGCTTGTTGCCATGTTGAAAAATCGAATTGACTATGTTAATCTATTATACTTCGAGTGATCCTCACCCTGAATGGCCATCTATGCAGATTGACACGATGTTCTGTTTGGCATATACTCTGAGTTCTATCTTGCAAAATTGCTGACATTCTATCGTCTACGTCGTCTACCATAACTTCTTGCATTTTGTCTCGCATCATTGCTGGCGTTCTATTTGGCATTCTACTTGGCAAATACTCTGCCATTCTATCTGGCGTACATTCTGACATTCTATTTGGCACACATTCCGACATTCTAGTCATTCTATTTGGCGAGGTCCGGCGGTGTCCACTGCGATCTGGAGCTGGTGTTTGAGGTCCGGCAGGGAACACTGCCGGCCGAAGCTCGCGGTTGAGGTCCGGCGGGGAACGCTGCCAAGCGACCCTCGCAGTTGAGGTCCGGCGGGAACACTGCCACGCAACCCTCGCAGTTGGGGTCCGGCGGGGAACACTACTAGCCGAGGCTGGCGGTCGAGGTCCGGCGGGGAACACTGCCTACACGCGGAAAGCTTGTTAGCCTGACCAGACTGCACAGTGCTTGTTAGTGAACAGCAGGGGGACGGGTCACCGCTGATACCACCCGTCCAACGAAGAGGGCATCAGGTTCTGACGCAGTGGGGGACGCTCCACTGCGCACTTGCTTTCGGAACAATGCTTGAACTTTTCTCCGCTGCTGATCCAACTGCTTGAACTTCTTTAGCTGCCAACCCGATCGTTCAGGCTGCTGCAGGCTCACCAGGTTGATTTCTTGCAACTCAGTGACGGTGTCGCCCACACATTGGAGGCTGTGGACTTATATAGAAAGTTCTGGGCTTTGACATCTTTCCACTGTTCCACCCAATAACCCTTCCCAGTGTGTGCGGGGGGATGGTTTATTGACGTTCAAGTTTCGAGCGGCAGTGACGAGTTTCCTGTTACTTAGTTGCTTGTTTTTTAAAGGTGACGCTGGCCCGCGTAATAATGACAAATAAATCTTGAGTCTTGAGTTGCGGTGTTGTTTTTTGCTTAATGCGTTTTCGTTGAGGAGGAGACTTTGTTACAAGTTTAAGGCGAGTCCTTTCGCCAAAGATGTCAAGAAACTCATGTATATAGCTGGAAAACTACTCAGAGTTCAGTTTGTGTCAGCATCAGCCCGGCAGCCCAGAACAAATTCAAAGAAAAGTCTGTAGTCTGTGTTGGGATTCGAGGTGTAGGTCGCGCGCCCCAAAAAACAAACAACAATATTAAAAAACTCAACCTTGGAAGCGCTAAGGTTACGGCACCAAGTTTTAAAGCATGGCTGGCCCTGTTTCAGAACAGTCTGGACAGTGATTGCTAGGTGATTTCAGCAATGATGAACGATTTCTGACACTGGAGGTGTTATTCGAACCAGCACTAGGCGCAGTGAATCAACCAATGGCACATGAACAAGTGGGAAAGAGCTGCAAGCAGCAGCAACCAACAAATTTAAACATACAAGAGTTTTTTTTGAGATGTGTTTATATATATAATTCTGTTGGGGGTGTGTTGATCGAGTTTGGGGTGTTTGGGGAGTTGTCTGGCTATATTTGAGGGTAGTTTTTTAACCTAGGCCAAGTTTGAACCAACTCTTCCCCCTGTCTTGCCAAAAGTGTTCTTTAAATGAAACGACACGCCGAGACAATTTTCCCAAACATCGAATCTATTTGGAGCAGGGGCTCCACAGAAAGCCGGATCTTTGCAAAATATTTCACAAATTGCGCGCGGCGCACGAATCGAAACATGTTTGTAGCATTGGCTTGGCGGTCTTGTACCTCTTTGTTGTTGGGTTAGTGCTTTAGGGGCGGTTTGGAAAATTGATGATCTCAAACAGTTTTGCTGTCAGTCATGTCACGTCATGACAAGGATTTGTCAAAAGCCCAAAAATGTGCAAAACAACATCAGAAATAGAATATTGTCCTGATACGGAGAGAGAGAGAGAGAGCCAACTTCGTGAATCAACTAAAACAACTGAGAATAATATTCAAGAACATGCTCTATTATGCTCTATTATAGAAACTTGTCAGAACCTTGCCTTCGGCGGTGCCAAAATCGGACTCCTGACCAGCCCCCAGGAAATCCAAAATGGCGGACCTTCTGGGAAAAGTCAAAAAATGGCTACAATAGGCAGCGTTGCATTTGGATCCATTTGGTGTTTTCCGGTTTTTCACTGCTTTTCTGATGTGTTGTATCCTGAATATTTTTCGTTGACCTGAAAACCAAAGGCAAAAATATGGAAAAAAACCATCATGCGTTGATCTGCGCTTGTGTTTTCTAGAGTTTTAAACGTTTGTTTTGTGATCCCCCTTGCACAAGTCCTTATGAAATGGGGATGTTGGTAACCTATAAAATGACTTTTTTGGGGGTCATTTCATAACGATCACAATGTTGCCGGAAATCGGAATTTCAAAAAAACAGCCTCTAAAATCCTGGCCCTCATGTCATAAACAGGTCGGTTCGGATCCTGTGAACATTTTATAAACAGGGATTGTTTTTAACATAGAAACAGCTGGGACATGGTTATTCATTTTATAAACAAGTAAGGATGTGAGAGAATAGAATCATGCTGCAGATGGATACTCATTTTATAAAACACAAAGGGTTGTGTCGGATTTCGGAAGTTTCTGGATTTTTTGATATGTTTGCCAATGGATTTAATAGTCCTTGGTAGGGGAAAACTATGTTATAAACCATTCCCTCTGCCAAAGAGCTGGAGGGTGTGGACAAATACGATGGGCCTTGGCAGGGAAAACTATTTATAAAATGGGTTTGCCATCTATTTCCTGGGAGGGTGTGGACAAATACGATAGGCCTTGGGAGGGGGAAAAAGGTTTATAAAATGGGTTTACCAGCTTTTCCCTGGGAGGGTGTGCACAAATACGATGGGCTTTTGGGAGGTGACAATGTTTATAAAATGGGTTTACCATCTTTTCCCTGGGAGGGTGTGCGCAAATACGATGGGCATGGTGAAGTTTTATAAAATGAGGCGATCCAATCTCCGCGTTTTGGGTCACTTTTTTTGCGCTGTGGTTGGCTCCCTTACAATAGTGGCTCTACAACCAAGGTTT